CAACACATGCATACACAGAATATAAAACAACTTTCACCATCAAAGAAGGTTATGAGCTTAGTAGGTTTTTTTCTGATTTTATATTATTTGAAATAGAGATAGCCAAAAGATATTTGCTATTCTGGAAGGATTTATGACTTTCAGCAGAGAACTTCACCAACATCAAAACAAAAGGGCAAATATTTCCATCAGTAAAATACACGTTGACCCTATTCTGATAGAAGCTAATATTTGCTATAGTCCAATAGGAACAGTCCAATAAAAAATTAAACAGCTTTAAGTTGATATTGCTATTTTTGATACACTAATAAAAGTTCTAAACATTCTAAGTATTTCATGATCATCATCATCCTTTTTATAAAGACCCCAAAAACACAACTCCAATGATTTTAATATGAATAACAAGGATAGGAAACGTGTGTAGTAACTCCGTCCAAAAGGAATGTTATTGTTAACATTATTATAATTAATTATTACCTCTGAAGCCTCTGTACTAGTTCAGACACCATGGTATCTGAAATTCCTGGGCAAGCTTCTTCAGCTAAATAAATAGCCTCTCTCAGTTCTTCTATGGAGCCCATGTTTCCCCCACAAGCTTGGCTTCTCTCTTTCAACTAAAAACCAGAAGAGGATTAGTTCTAAGCATCTGAAACATTTACAAAATAAATGCTTATGGATAAAAAAAAATAACACAGCTCTGTGCTTTGCCTAGAGATTGTGTGGAAACATACAGGATGCATATAAACCAGTGGTGAGTTGCTCTTACCTTTGCTACTAGTATGCTGCTTGTGGTCCATTCGTGCACGCACCAGACGTGAGCTGCGCATGTGCACTCCACCACCCCGCGACACCCAGCTGTTTGTCGGAGGTCACGCAGCACTGCACGCTGTGCGCGCATGCACAATTAGCCCGGTTGCCTTAAAAACAGCTATGGAACGTGGGCGGGTGGGTGGGCCAAACCAGCCACTGTACCAGTACGGTGGATGCTGGTCCCGACTACTACCAGTATGGCCGTACTGGGCCGTACCGGCCAGAACCCACCACTGATATAAACTATTT